TAAGGCTTTGATTAAATTTTCTTGTAATTTTTTCAAGTGGTGAAAATCTGTTTTTTAAAACAATCCTTTGTAAAAAACGTTACTCCCGTTTAGAGAGAGTTTTAGGTCGACCAGTTTTTTTTTTAGGATAGAGAGAACCATTTTTCTTATATCGATTAATAGTATCGTATACAGTTGCATGAGAAATATTCAGCATAGCTGATATTTTTAATCCATTCGAACCCATAAGATAAGCACCGATTATTTGGTCTCTTTTTTCAGTTGTTAATTCATTGTCTCGTATTTTTTTGACCAAAAAAAATCTATAAAAAAATTGATTTTTATAAGCAAAATTGTTAATTGTACTTGCGTCAAAAAAAGAAATAAATGATATTACTTTTTCGATTAGTCGTATATTTATTGTTGATTTCCGGTAATTTATGTTAGGGGTGTGTATACCTTGATATATACATAAAAATAAATAAAAGTTTTATTTAAATTAAATAAATATTTATTAAATTATAATAAAAATATTAATCCAAAACTTTCGCACGTACTGTATATCGATACAGATTTGCATCTAGAATATAACTGATTATCGCACATGAATATATGCCATACACACATTTCGTCGCTTTATACAAATGAATTCCGCGAAAGCTTTACGTCTCAAGAATAAACTGAATTGGCAAACGACTCAATTTCTTTTTCATCCAAGTAAAAGTCACAATTTCAACTATGACTTAAATGCATTAAGAGCTATTGAACACTATATGCAAAAACCGATAAATGATATTTCTGTAAGGCACACACCAACCAAAGTTGTTTTTCGACAATATTTTTACCCTGGTATTCAACAACCACCACGTGAAGGGGTTATTCCGAGCTCAGAACCTCCCGTTTTTAATTCCAACGTATTTGATCAGAAATATCTTGACATTCTTAAAGAACGACTTGGAAAAATGTATAATAAAGATGTGGAGTTTCAATTGATTCGTCAACGTTACCCTTTTCTCAATGCCAGGATTTTGGCCCAATACATAGCTTCGAATACTTCCCGTTATAGAATTAGACAAATTCGTCGTTCATTATTTAAAAAGATTCCGTTGGTTGGTCGTAGTATAGGAGAAACTAAGAAAGTTAGTAAAAGCAGCTTATTAAGTGATCTTAATGCGGCCTCACCAACTAAATGGATTCAATTATCGCGTATCGGACATCGATTCTTACCCATTCATTTATCAGGATTTAGAATGAGGATCTCTGGCAGAATGAGTCTTCGGAAGGGAGCGGCTAGAGCTAGCAAGGCCACTAGTTCTATGGGAAGTTTCAGATTTAACACAATAAAAAATACAATGATAGATTATGCGAAGGTGGAAAGGAAGAATCAAAATGGTGCTTATTGTGTTAAAGTTTGGCTCAGTTCTTCTGTGGCCTAAACGGGAATTCTTGTTCAGCGACAATGTGTCTTTTTAATAAGAATAAATTCAATAAAAATCGTCGCCAAAAATACGTCGCGTCGTTTTTCGTGATCATCAATATGCATATTGATTGAAAAAAAAAATTTTTTTTTTATACGATAAATATAATCAAATATAACGATCTAATCTTTGCTTGTTTGCTCATATAGACACGACTTTCTTAACATGACAAGTATAGCTGATTCCGAAGGTGAACCTTCTGTTGCTTCTAATTCAAACATAAAAGTCGCTGTCAATGAAACACCTACTCAAGTAATAAAAAACAAGGCACTTGTTCTTTCGCCATTTTCACCACGTTCACCACGTTTGCCAGTTCCGCCAGTCACTGCGCGTCCTCCGTCGGCAAAATCGGATACTGTCATCGCGACTTTAGTTTTAAAAGATGGCACTAGTTATCAGGGCTTTTCATTCGGCGCTGAAAGTAGATCAGTGGCAGGAGAATGTGTTTTTCAAACTGGTATGTGCTTTTTTCCTACGATTTCTCTTTATTAGCGAGGTCATTTATGTATATTTCAGAATTTACCCTAATTTATAGGTATGGTCGGTTATCCCGAGTCTCTGACCGATCCCTCTTACCGAGGACAGGTTCTTGTGTTAACATTTCCCCTGATAGGCAATTATGGAGTTCCTTCATGCGATGATATGGAGTCTCTTTTCAAAGACATTCCAAAGCATTTTGAATCTCGTGAAATACATGTCGCTGGTTTGGTTATTGGACAATATTCACAAAAATTTTCTCATTATTTGGCAAACTCTTCCTTGTCCGATTGGCTAAAAGAGAACGATATTCCAGCCATATATGGAATTGATACGCGTGCTCTAACGAAAAAGATTCGTACTCAAGGTGTACTTTTAGTAAAGATTTTATTTCCAAAGAGCGTAGTTGGAAATACAGCTTTGGGTATATCGGAGGGAAATGATTCTTTATCCGTAGATGGTGTAAGTTATCAAGAACCTTGGTTGCTTGATTATCAGGATGTTCCATGGGTAGATCCAAATGAGAAAAACTTGGTTGCAGAAGGTAATGAATCTTTGAGATTTTCGATGCCTTTCATGCTCTAATCCGTGAAGGTAGCATTAAACACATATATAGCTGAATCTTTCATATATTTAAATAGTTTCAATTAACGAACCCAAATTATACGAACCTGATCCATCGAAGGCTATTACTGATGCTAACGGAAGAACTTTACGTGTTATAGCGATTGACGTTGGTATGGTGGGTAAATAAAAAAAAAAAAAAATAGAATTTGTTCTGAATGTGGTTATTATCTATGGTTGATTTTTATTAAAAACATTTTCCATGATCTAAGAAATACAATCAAATCCGATGCTTGGTCAATCGTGGTGTTGAGTTATTAGTGGTTCCTTGGGATTATAATTTTAACGCGGAAAAAGAATATCATGGTTTGTTTATTAGGTGAGTATGGTTTGTTCTACATTTATATCATCTTAAAGAAGTAGCTAAATTTGTTTTAGCAATGGCCCAGGTGATCCAACTATGGTTGAAAAAACTATTGAACATCTAAGAGAAGCGTTAAAGAAAGCAAAAACACCAATTTTTGGGTAAAACATCGACAAAACTATATAGTTTGTTTGTTTGTCATAAAATATCAAGCATAATTATTGATGTAATTTCATATCATTAGAATTTGCCTGGGACATCAATTGTTAAGTTTGGCATCTGACGCCAAAACTGTAAAGATGAAATATGGTAATCGTGGTCAAAACATCCCGTGCACAGATATGATCTCTGGGCGTTGTTATATAACTTCTCAAAATCATGGTTACGCGGTTGATGCAAGCACACTTCCTCCTGACTTTCAAGAATTGTTCGTTAACGCAAACGATGGTTCAAACGAAGGAATAATACACAAATCCCTACCCATTTTCTCGGTTCAATTTCATCCAGAAGCAACACCAGGTCCAAAGGATACCGAATATTTGTTTGATGTGTTCATCGAAAGTGTAAAACAATCTAATTTAGCACGCAAGTTAGTGCCTTTAAAAATGCCAGGTGGAAATAAGGAAGAAAATTCAAGAAGAAATCCACGTGTGAATGTTAGAAAAGTATTGGTACTTGGTAGTGGTGGATTGAGTATTGGTCAGGCAGGTGAATTTGATTACTCTGGAAGTCAGGTATGTAGAATATTCATTTCGAGATTTTTTTCTTTTACATTATTCTCAGTCATAATTTATAATAGGCTATTAAAGCTTTGAAAGAAGAAGGGATTTATACAATTTTGATTAACCCAAATATTGCAACAATACAAACCTCTCATTCACTGGCTGACAAAGTATTCTTCCTTCCGGTGAATCCGGAATTCGTTCTTAAAGTTATCAAGTACGAAAAACCTGATGGAATATATGTAACATTTGGGGGGCAGACTGCCTTAAATGTGGGTATTAAGCTCAAGGACGAATTCGAGAAGCTGGGAATAAAAGTTTTGGGAACTCCTATAGACACAATAATAATGACCGAGGATCGTGAGCTGTTTGCACAGAAAATATTTGAGATTAAGGAAAAATGCGCAGAATCTGCACCCGCTACTAATGTACAAGAAGCCTTAGACGCAGCACAAAATATTGGTTACCCTGTTATATGTCGTGCCGCATACGCTCTTGGTGGCCTGGGCTCTGGATTTGCTGAGAATGAGACACAATTGGCTGAGCTTTGCGCCAAAGCTTTCGCTACCAGTCCTCAAGTATTAATCGAACGATCGATGAAAGGCTGGAAAGAAATCGAATACGAAGTTGTTAGAGATTGTCGTGACAATTGTATTACTGTTTGCAATATGGAGGTAACGATTATATATATATATATATAACATCACGTTCCTATTTTATTTAGTATTTCGAATTTGAACTAGTAATGTCCGTGCACGCACAAATTTAGAATTTTGATCCTCTTGGAATCCATACGGGTGACTCCATTGTGGTTGCGCCATCACAGACTCTTTCGGACGAAGATTATAATATGCTTCGAACAACGGCAATTAATGTGATCCGTCATCTTGGAGTCATCGGCGAATGTAATATTCAGTACGCGTTGAATCCGTTCTCTAAAGAATATTGTATTATTGAGGTGAACGCGCGTCTGTCTCGTTCGTCTGCACTTGCATCCAAAGCTACAGGTTATCCTTTAGCTTTCGTTGCTGCCAAGCTTGGTTTGGGTATACCATTAAACGAAATTAATAATTCTGTGACCAAAGTCACGTGTGCCTGTTTCGAGCCTAGTTTGGACTATGTAGTGGTTAAAATTCCAAGGTGGGATTTAAAGAAATTTACTCGGGTAGACAAAGCTTTGAGCTCATCGATGAAGTCAGTTGGAGAGGTTATGAGCATTGGTCGTACTTTTGAAGAAACCATTCAAAAAGCAATCAGAGCTATTGAATATAGTTTTGTGGGATTCAGTCAGGTTGACTAAGCTTATTGTTACTACATGCAGCTTAAAGTATAAAGATATCATTATTTTTCATCTTTCTGTTTATTTATTAGAACGATCTGGTGGACGATATCGAAAGCGAATTGGTTAATCCATCCGATTTACGTTTGTTCGCTATCGCCAATGCCATGCATAAAGGCTATACTGTTGATCAAATTTGGGAATTTACCAAAATAGACAAATGGTTTTTACATAAGCTACAAAACATTATCGAATTAGAACGACTGTTGAAAAAGTTTAACCATTCCAATATTTCGTCTGAGTTGTTACTGAGTGCTAAACAATTGGGTTTCTCCGATCGTCAAATAGCAAGAGCTCTAAATAGCAACGAGCTGTCTGTCAGGAGGATCAGAAAGAAGCATGGAATAATACCTTTTGTAAAACAGATTGATACCGGTAAATAAATTTGTTTCTTTAGAATCCTTGTGCTACAAAAATGGAGAAAACTGAGCCATGAATAATTGTTTATGTAGTCGCTGCCGAATTTCCAGCACAAACGAATTACCTTTATATCACATATAATGCCGTGGAAAATGACATATCCTTTAATGAAAAAGGAGTTATGGTACTTGGATCTGGAGTCTATCGCATTGGTAGTTCAGTAGAGTTCGACTGGTGTGCCGTACGTGCTATTCGAACATTACGGGACAAGAAGATTAAGACAATCATGGTCAATTATAACCCTGAGACCGTCAGCACGGACTACGATGAAGCTGATAGACTTTATTTTGAAAATATAACTCTCGAACGAGTGTTGGATATATATGAGATCGAAAATTCGAATGGTGTAATTATTTCGATGGGTGGCCAAATTCCTAATAACATTTCGTTGCCATTGCATCGTCAAAATGTAAAAATCTTAGGAACTTCCCCAGAAATGATAGATACCGCCGAGAATCGATATAAATTTTCTCGTATGTTGGATCAAATTGGAGTTGACCAACCGGAATGGAAAGAATTAACAAGTCATGAGGAGGCTCATGCTTTCTGCAAAACAGTACAGTTCCCAGTTCTGGTACGACCTTCCTATGTGTTGTCCGGTGCCGCTATGAATGTAGTTTATTCCTCGGATGACCTATCTAATTATCTTAGTCAAGCCACAGCAGTTTCGCGAGAACATCCAGTTGTTATATCGAAGTATATTGAAGAAGCGAAAGAAATAGAAATGGACGCTGTAGCTTTGGATGGAAGACTGGTAATGCACGTGATATCAGAACACGTTGAAAATGCCGGTGTTCATTCAGGAGATGCAACACTTGTTTTGCCACCTCAAGATCTTGATCCTGAAACCGTGAAAAAAATAGAGTTGGCAACTCAACAGATTGGGAATGCGCTTAATGTGACTGGTCCTTTTAATATCCAGTTTATTGCCAAGAATAATGATATCAAAGTAATAGAGTGTAATGTTCGTGCTTCAAGGTCATTCCCCTTTGTATCTAAAGTAATTGGAGTAGATTTAATAGAGATGGCCACACTTGCAATTTTGGGAGTTCAATTTGAACATTATCCGTCACTCAATTTACCCAAAAATTACGTGGCTGTCAAAGTTCCACAATTTAGTTTCAGTCGATTATCTGGTGCTGATCCTGTATTGGGTGTTGAAATGGCGTCGACTGGAGAAGTCGCATGTTTTGGTCGTGATAAATATGAAGCTTACCTCAAGGCATTGATATCAACAGGAATGACTATCAACATGCCCCGGAAAAATGTATTGCTTTCTATTGGCTCCTTCAAAGAAAAGAATGAGATGTTACAATCGGTTCAAAAGCTTCACAATATGGGTTTCAATTTATTTGCCACTTCCGGTACGGCTGATTTTATTCAAGAACATGGTCTACCAGTAAAATACTTGGAATCACTAGAAGAATCCGAACACGAGCTCAAGTCAGAATATTCACTTCAGCAACATTTGGCGAATAACTTGATTGATCTGTATATCAATTTACCATCGAAAAATAAGTTTCGACGTCCAGCGAGTTATATGAGCAAAGGTTACCGTACGCGTAGAATGGCTGTGGATTATGATGTTCCGTTGATTACGAACGTTAAATGCGCGAAATTATTTGTGGAGGCTCTGTCGCGCTTAACTACTTTTGAAATTTTGGATATCGATTACAAGACAAGTCACAAACGAGTCACATTACCGGGTCTCATTAATATTTCAGCATTTATACCTCATGTTAGCGAACCCGGTCATGACGACTTTGCACAAGTTACAAGAGCGTGTCTCTCAGCCGGATTTACTACGATCAACGTATTACCTATTGGGTTAACGGGTTCATTGCATGACTCGCAAACTATCTCTGCAGCACGTACCAATGGTAGTCGTAATTCTTATTGTGATTTTTCTTTAGCTGTAGCTATTACGGAGAACAATTATCAGGAGTTGAGAAAGGTGATCCCCGACGTAATCCTGTCGTTCATTCCATTTTCAAATCCTCAATGTGACGAGCTTCCAACCGTGGACACTATCAAAACACATTTTAGATCTTGGCCTTCTCATATGCCCATAGTAACTGATGCTAAGGGAAAGGATTTGTCGCATATCTTGTTTGTAGCCGATTTGCTCGAACGTGTCGTGCATATTACAAACGTAAGCACAAAGGAAGACATTGAATTGATTACGCTAAGCAAAGAAAGGGGAAAAAAAGTTACATGCGATGTTTCGGTGTACGCACTATTTTTGAATACCGACGATACAAATGAAAGTACGAATATCTTGCCAACCCCATCAGGCCAAGCAGCTCTATGGGAGCACTTGGAGGAAATTGATTGTTTTTCCATAGGAGTTATCCCATACCAACTTTCAAAAATAATTGGTACGGATGTTGAGGCATGCACTGGCGTTGAAGAAACGTTGTCACTGCTTACAAATGCCATTAATGAAGGACGATTGACTTTGGAAGATGTTAAAAAACGTCTCTACACTAATCCTCGTAAGATTTTTAATCTACCCGAACAACCGGATACCTTTGTAGAAGTAGAGATTGACAGAAAAACCATAGTTTCTCGGAAAGGACAATGTTCTCCATTCTCTGGAAAAATGTTGCGTGGTACTGTCAGTCGTGTAGTTTTAAGAGGAGAAACAGTTTATCTGGATGGAGGGTTTTATTCCACAGATACAATCGGAAAAGGAGTGAAGCATGTGATTGTGAAAACGCCTGTTACAAAAGAATCGTTTACAATTAAGGATTCGACACAAGCTCAGTTACAACAGTCTAACCCAGATGTCACTTCGCCACCGCTTGGACCCAGAGAAATTAGCACAAAATTAGTTGTTCCAGAATTAACCATCGAAAGACCTGAAATACCAACGTAAGTTTTTTTATTCATTTATAATTCTCGTTAAAGACGCGTATAAATTTTGAATTTTACTATAAAATTATTTTTTGCACATTTGCAAGTCATTCGTCTTTTTTGCGAAAAGATATTCTTACAGTGAAAGAATTCACGCGGAACGATCTTCATTTATTATTTGGTGTCGCTCATGAAATGCGCACGTTGGTGGAACGATATGGGATGATTGACCTACTTAAAGGTCGCGTATTGGTTACATTGTTTTACGAACCGTCCACAAGAACATCGGCATCTTTTCAAGCCGCGATGTACAGATTAGGTGGGCGAGTTGTCTCTATTAATGCAGATACCTCATCGGCCACCAAAGGTGAAACGCTGGAAGATACAATTAGAACAGTAGGATCATACGGAGACATTATCGTGATGAGACATCCTGATGTTGGAAGTTCAAAGACTGCGGCAAATTTTTCAAAGGTTCCCATAATAAATGCGGGAGATGGAATTGGTGAACACCCTACTCAGGCACGTTATTTACATTATCCCGTTTGCATGCATCACATATCTTATTTACGTCCTAGAAAAACTGTATTTTTAGGCATTTCTTGACGTGTATACAATTCGTGAAGAATTGGGAACCGTGAACGGCTTGACCGTGACTATCGTTGGTGATCTGAAAAATGGTCGAACAGTTCATAGTCTAGTTCGAATTTTATCACAATACCAGGTTACTCTAAATTATGTTAGTCCGGATTCATTACGTATGCCAAGTGCTGTCAAGACGGAAGTTCGTAAGATGAGTGCTATAAAACAAACGGAATATACTGATTTGCAAGATGTGATTGCAGACACAGACGTGCTCTATGTGACACGAATTCAACGTGAACGCTTTGTTAATCAAGAAGAATACGAACGAGTTAAAAATGCCTACATTATAAATAATGCCACTTTGGTCAATGCTAAACCAAATATGATTATCATGCATCCGCTTCCACGAATGAACGAAATTAGCCAAGAGGTCGACTTTGATGATCGTGCTGCTTATTTCCGGCAAATGAAATATGGAATGTTTGTGAGAATGGCTTTACTTGCTCTGGTAAGATATCTCCTATGAAGTTTTATTTTTAAATTGGTGTTTAACCTATTTCAATTTTATATAGATTCTTGCATAGTTTTGGGAATAGAATGGTAGAACTTACACGTCTCCCAAAAAGAACGCAACACTTAATCGTAGATCTTTGATCAGATCAGATCAAATCATGGCGAAATTAATAGTATATACAGTGTGTATACAATAGAAATAGTGATTAAAATAATAATAATAATAAATTTTGATATAATTAATAAAAATTTACTGTTGCATTTTTTTGGAAAAATATAAAAATCTATTCAAGCTTTATATAATTCAAATGTTCTCAAGACAATTATCTATAGAGAAGAAATTAAAGGTTATTACCGTATTAGAAGGTTATAGTCTACATCAGGTTTTTGCTAAAATTGGTAATAATGTTTATTATTTCACCATATTTAAACTTAAAATATTTTTAAATTAGAAAATAAATTTATTTCTAGCTGTTTATCTAAATTAACTCTATGTGAAAAGCATATTATTATCAAAAATTTTAAAAGAATACAAAACAGTTATGGACATATATAGATCCTTAATAAAATATGAAAAAATAAATGTTAATAAAATTTAAAGAATTCTTAAGAAAACCAAATATAAAATATATATACAATACAAAAAAACTTTTTTTAAATAAACAAAAAAATACAATGGAAATTTACAAATATACATAAAAATTAAACTATAAAATATTGAAATATGGTAATTTGATTTGACAAAACTAAATTTCAACTTTTTGAAACTAAAAAATATAAATATTATTAAAAAAAATTTATAGAATCTTTAAAGAATTAATATACTGTATAATTTTTATAATCAAATTTAATAAAAATAATATTATTATATAGGAATGTTTTACTTATTATAGTATAAAATATTTAGTCTATTATAAAAATCTTTAGAATTTTATTTTAACTTACAATTTAATAACTACATAATTAATAATATAATATAATATATATATATATTATTTAAAGATATAAAAATTAAATTTCAGATATATGGCAAGTAGCTGAACTATCCTGTGCTTTACAGATAAATCTTTTCTTTAATAGACTTCTCCAATTGGGTTGAGGCAGCTAATAAAGCCATAACTCAGTTATACAATCTTATTTGGAAACCACACTGCTCCCCAATCAACACGTTACCATCTACTGGAATTAAATGAAACTTTAACAAACCTTTCATACCATCTCACTCTTCTAAACTATCCAACAACCATGACTCTCAAGCCAAAACCCAACCAACCATTACTTCTCCTGAAGAAATTATAATTGACCTACCTAACATAGTTGCTAATACGTTTATTTAATATAAATATAATTATCCTAAATGTATTCAAAAATTAATATTATTATTACCTGACACCTCTTCCCTTAATACTGAGTAGGTATTTATAGCTGCTCAGTACTATTTAACAAGATATATTGTTTTAAATTTTTTTTTCAATATTAGTTAAATGATTATTATAGGCAAGCTAGCATTTAACTCATTATACTTGCATATGAGAGATGTTGTTTCTTTCATAATGTATATCTTGATATATACAAACCAAATAAAGAAATAATGTTTACCTACAAAAAAAAAGATATAAAAATTAAAATTAATTAAAAATTTTATTATTATTATTATATATTATTATTATTATTGAAATTATATTTGAAATTAAAAAAAAAAACTCTTTCCCGTACACAACATTTTTCTTAAAAATTTCCTTTTATAGTAATTTTTCTCCAAAATTAAA